ATACATTTCTGAGACGTATACTAAAACGGAATCAAGATGAATCATCGACTGCATTTAAATTCAAATATTCCGTGAACCACAATGAACCCTGAAATTGGTTCCAATCAAAATCCAGTAATCCTAATCCGAGCTTTGTAATCTTTCAATTTTTGATTCAACAAATAAAATTATAAGTGGGAACCCTGTTGTTAAAAATGCATCTTAAGTGCGGTCCGTTTTACTTACCTTGTAACTAACGGCCGGAGTTTTAAGATTATAAAATTATCCCCTACATTGGTGATTGACGAGATGTCCGTCTGTCCATCAATTTGTTTATAAAATATAGACTGTATTAAAGTGATTTGTTATTGATTTTTTATAAAGAAAACATAGATGGTGCGGTAAAGAATTGTCTAGACAACTTCTTTTATATAAGTTATTATAAAATCGACGTCTTTCTCATTTTCATTAGCTTTTGAGTTGTTTATGGTCTTTAATGTCATCGTCATTAATAGCAACTGCATAAATATAAGCATTACCGAATAATGTATATCTATCTTCGACAACACTGATATTAACATCGTTCCCATAACATGCAGTCACCATACATCACAGATGCCAATACTTTTCAAAGCTCTCCACCTCAGGAGTATGGCACCGCCTATCTTCTAGTAAAAAACAAAATCCCAAAGAGGCGTATAATTTTTGAAATTAAAGCAACCAAACTCTGGGTCGTACCTTAGTCGTTCATAAAAGAGTTAAAAGCAAGCCGTGTTATGAAAAAAAATAAACATTATGAGCCAAGTGATCTTAACACTTTAAAAATCGGTCTGTGTAATTTTTAATAACAAAATTATGGGTTCACAATGAAGTTAGCTTAATAAACCTGTGATTATTAATAGTTCTTCTTTACGGTTACTTATTATAAGCTTCTTTGGTTTCCTAATGTCAGGTTTGCTACGATTTTAATTAAAATTTTACCACAACTCATATTTAATGAAGGTTAATCAAGTTTAGGAGTTGTACTGGTAATCAATTTACATTGATTAATTAGTTTCATGATAAGCGTTGATGGTGAAATGTAGAATGCTTTATATAACTACGAAATCTTTAGTGGGTTCGGCAGAAATGTATCGTGTGAGTATATTTTGCGTATTATGATTTTATTAATGGCATGTAATATGGAATAGATACGGGGCACAGGATTTTTTTATTAATCAAATAGACTAAAAAGATAACAAGTTAAAAGAAAATAACAAAAAACCAGTACTGTTCACTTTCATTTAAACTAATTGTTGTTACATAACTACCTCGTTCGCCGAGTGGTTGCAAGTGTCTCGGGTTCGTTCCCGGGTCGGGCAAAGTATTACTGGGTTTTTAAAAATAATCTCAGTAGTAGCACGGAGTCTGGAATTGTGCCCGGTATATGACAATAGGCTCACCCCCTATTACATGGAAGTCATAACATAAATAGTGAAACATGGGTCCATTTTTCACTCTACTCAGTGGCATTAAGTGCCGTAATGTGCACCTCTGCCTACTCCCACGGGGATAAAAAGCATAGGTAATGTTATGTTATAAGTTTTTCCATTTACGATAGTCAAGTATTTATTAAATATATTATTAAACTAAATCGATGTACAAAAATAATGATAAGATTTCAAAAAGTCAACAACGACTTTGGCAACAAAAATAAAACAATACGTTCTAAAGCCTAATCTCCCAAAGCGATGGCATCTTAACGACCTCTTTAGTGAAAAAGAGCTGACAAAATCGGAGCACCACCCCACAGACAAGGATTCTTAGTAAAACGGACAGAGGTACAGTCAGAATAAAAGCCAATGGTGAAATAATGTTCAAGAAGGAATTAAAGGAATTTAATTAAATGATTTTGGTATTTATGACATTAATGTTAAAGTTGATTATGGTATTTTAAGGTGCCTACGAAAGTAATGCAAAATTAATTATTTACCCTGCAGTTTAATAATGTATTTCAGTGCATTCATAACTAATACTATTGTGGTAATTCAATGCTGCAAAAGTCCTGTAAGTTTTTTGGCGCAAATATAATGATATAATTTAAACCTGAAAGTTATAGAAGATAAATGCAAGCTGTGGATAAATACATAGCTACATAACATAATGCCTTTCCTTTTTAATCTCCAAAAAGTAAGCACATACACAACAAAACTCCCTCCAGACTTACAAAGGCGGGAGAAGACATTCTATGATTTCCCCCCCAAAAAAAAATACACAATAAAACGCCCTCCAGTTACCTACATTGAAACATATAAGTAATAGAAGATGAGCCTGTTGCCACAATACCAGCTTTTTTGTAGTATAGGCTGGTAAACGTGCAGACGAAACACCTGATGGTAAGCAATTAGGAATTTGAGGATTGTTAAGGATTTGGGGATTGAGGATATTGGGGAGAGGGGAATTGGATCTCCGGTATGTAGGGTTACCCATTTGTACGACGAAACAAAGCGCAAGTGAACATTACTTACCTACGTCGTTTTCTGTGAGGCCGTGGTATTACTCCGGTTGAGTTGACCCATTCGTGCCGAAGCATGGCTCTTGAAACTAAGAGAAGTTAACAACATAACATCACGCCTTTTTATCCCCGAAGGGGTAGTCAAATGTGTACATTATAGCACTTGATGCCACTGTACAATGTAAGACCCACTATTCACTATTTATATCATAAGTCCCATGTTATAGGGGGTGAGCCTATTGCCATATACCGGGCACATTACCAGACTCCGTGCTACTACTGGGATTTTTAAAAATCCAGTAATACTTTGCAGTACGAGTAATACTAAGAGAAGTTATATGATAACAATCCTTTAACCCTTAGAGCGCCACGTCAGTCACCGGTGCCTGACGCTAGTGGAGGTTTGACTTTCACCATTTTAAACTTGGCAGTTAAAGTATTAAAGATGCTTACTTTCCCTAACCCCTCTGAGAAACATCACCAACTGTACTATGACTATGATAGTAATCATGTATCCTAATAACTGAGTCGGTCTCTTTGTCTATTGTTTACATTAGGGTGGCTTGCTACGTGATTTCGGTGGTCATGCCGGCTCCTTTGCAGGGACCTCCCTGCTGTTATTGTTAAATACGTCGTCATTCTGATAGGGTCTACAGAGTGTTTCAAAAGTCACTCATTAGGTTTTTGGATTGGTTTTGTTCTAGTTTTGTATTTGTTTGTGATTTTTAAACGTTAATAAATTCAGAAATTTAAAAGATAATAATAATTAGAAAATAGTAGGTATGACTTGGAATTTTTCAAGATTTTTTCTCTTTGTTTACTTAACACTATTATAAATTGTGGTTTTATGTGTTGTAATACTGTAATTGTGATTATTAAGCAAAACTTTGTTTTTCATTACAAAATATTTTTTGACAGAAACTTTTACACATATTAAAAAGAATTTTGGTTATTCGAATGCTACAATATTTTGTTCAAAGTGTCAGTCAAGCGTTACTTGAAAAGTAAATATTTTCTAGTTCCCTCACATTCTCGGAAATAAAAAAGGCACCTCAAACACTTTCAACAAAACAGCCTGTACGTGTAAGAAGGGTGCGCGCGCGTCGTTTGTCGGCGCAGACGCAGCACGTGGCGCAGTTTAACCTGCGCGTGAGTCGCGCGCTAATGACACTGTGTCACTCGACTCCCGGCCGCCGAACGCGCCGGACGTTAACTAATGTGCCGCTCTATTATTTATAATGTATGAATTTGATGGCTTCTTCGAACAGTTTTCAATTGTCTTTTGATTGATGCTTAAAGCTATGGACCACCTTCTAATTAATAGCTATTGAAATAACCGTAAAAGTAGATGAAGTACAATTATTCTTTGAAGAATTCATGGCTTCATTATCAGAGCAACTACAGTTCTATTTGAACTGATTATATCTGGGGCTTCATCTCTATATTCATTGAACTCATTTGGTTTGCCTGTAACCTTTTAAGCAATTAATATTCGATATAATTTATAATTCAGTGAGTGTTTCTAAACAGGTGCACTCGAACTCTATAAAAATTGTCACGCGTCTGTCAATATTAATATTTGATCGTTTGAAGGTGCCGCATGTCGTTTCGAATCCATAATTCGATGATTTTTTATGTAATAAGTGTTGCCTACAGTTGCCAAAGAATTTATTTAAATGTTAATTATTTGTAGCATAAAATTGAAGTAAATGCAAATGGTACATAATTTGTGAACTCAAAATGTTCAGTTTAACGTCCACTTTTCATCAATGCCTGGTCTAGATTTTACCAGGCAACCCAATTTTATAATGCTTAATGTAGAACTTATACATGCAACAGCTTGGTGAAAGTTGGTGTTATATCGGATATTAGACCAATACCAAAACACCTGTTTGTGACAACCTAGATTAATTTATTACGAGTGCCTCGTTGGCCGAGTGGTCGCAAGTGCGACTGCCGGGCAAAGGGTCTCGGGTTCGATTCCCGGGTCGGGCAAAGTATTACTGGGTTTTTAAAAATCTCAGTAGTAGCACGGAGTCTGGAAATGTGCCCGGTATATGGCAATAGGCTTAACCCCTATTACATGGGACTCATAACATAAATAGTGAAAAGTGGGTGTTACATTGTACAGTGGCATTAAGTGCCGAAATGTACACCTCTGCCTACCCTTTCGGGGATAAAAAGGCGTGATGTTATGTTATCTTATGTTAACATATTAAAACAGTTTATAAACATCTGACATCATATTTCATTCATCCCGTTCCCACATTAAGTAAGTGATGTTTAAGATGACTGTATTCTGCGTAACACGCCGCCCGCGGGCGACCACTCATCTTCAAAGTTTTATTTTATACAACAAGATTTAGATGCTGTTAACTTTTAAATGGTGTTTGTTGATTCATATTGAATTTTGGATAAAATTTTCTTAATTAAGAGCTTTTTTGAAGTCATCTACATTCTATTAAACCTGAAGAGATTTTTTAGAGTTTGTTCAACAAATTTATCTACGGACTTTATTTTATTAATCATGTATTCTGGCGAACCACCGAGACCTGGTTCCCAACAACCAATACCTACAGGTCCTCGGCCACAACCCCCTACACCATGGGGTCCTCCTACCGCGCAAGATGGCAGAGCTTCGCACAGATCAACTCCGTCTACTCATCAAGAGCATCCTGGTGATGTAGACGCAGAGAATACACACCACATTCTGAATTCGGAAATATATTCAGCTTAAATTCTCTTAACTGAAATCTTGATGTAATAACTGCACTGAAGAGAAATCAATGTACTGAAATTCGTTCACACAATTTTCATGCCCTATATATAATTAACAAAATAATTTTCTTCAGTCTCCTACAAAAATTGATCATCAAAGTCCATAAAAATCCCTAATATTAATACATTAATTAGGTCCTACAAGAACCCAACACAACAACAAACTAAACAACACCAATTAATAAACGCTAACATAAAATTACCTTCGACCAAACTAAGAAGCGCCTTAATGAATTTATATAGTAAATGGCGCACACGGTCTAAATATAGCAAGCACTTGTTAAGAATCCACACATACATACGCGAATCAAATAGATACCATATACCACCATAAAACAGCGAATCCCATCGCTGTCATTAAATTGTAATTAACATAAGAATTACCAACAATCTAGTTACACACCCCACCTATGTCATAAACGGCAGATCACCAAGCCACAAATCGACTCTTATTACAACAATATCAATAACTGTCACTGCACCCAATCATTATAGCTTCGTCTCGTTTACGCGAAACAACAGTAATTACCCACCATTACCTACATCTCTTTCGAACTCATTAATCTAAAGCTATGTAAGTAACGAACGACTCTTTCCATTTCTTTCGCGCAGAACAACAAGCTACGCTGGAAAAACGCACCTCACAAATATACCTCCGTCTCACTCGCACCCAAGGCGAGCGCGGCCAGAAATAAAAACCGTCAAAAGTGTATTTTTTTCTTAATTACACAACAGTTACATTTTCAAAATGACAAGAGTAAAGTGTCTTGAAAATTTGAAATTGGAACAGTCCCCACCACGCGTAGGGATTCGTTAAGGCGCTCGCGCATGTTTTTTCGACGTAAAAAAGAAAATAAGGCTCGCGGGAAAGAGAGGCTTAGTTGCTTTTTATAGTCGTTCCCCCGGTGCGCCGGCGCACGGAAGTATCGGAGCTTCAGGATCGAGCCTTAATCTCATTCTAATAAAAAGCTCACGCATAAATTGACGCGCTGACATTAGTTTTAAATTACAATAGTTTTTTATTTGTGTTTTATGAAAAATCGTGTGTTACTAACGGTTGTTGAATAATGCCGGACACGTGCCGTTTATGGTTATTTTTATTGTCACAATTAACATTAATTTTGTGAAGCAAAGTGTGAAGGGTTGTTTTTATTAAGTTTATCATTAGAACTTCATCGTTCGAGCTGTGTGGCCGTGTTTCATTTTATTTATTATCGCAATAATTTAAAATGAATTAATTATTTTTTTATTGTGTCGAAAGTGGTTTATTAGTTTTGTTTTTTGGAGATTTTTATTTTTTTTTTACTATCAAGATGTTTCTAAGGTAAGATTTTATTTGTATTCATTATTTTTAATTTAAAATAAATTTTAGTTTTTTTTTAAATCCTTCTAAGTATTAAAAAAATATTTCTATCAATTTTTTTCATTGATCTATTTTTCTTTAATTGTTCCTTGTACTATTCAAATTATATGCAAGACTCATTTAAAGCACTTTTTTCCTTATACATAGTTCCTTATAGTCATGCGCACCTTACTGTCGTACACATTTTATTACGGACATAGACTTAAATAATAATATCTTGTTAAAATGTAATACAGAAAGATTAGGTGAGTAGGCAGATTTTCGTATATATAACTAATTTTTCCGTGCAACAAAGCTCGCCCTAATACAGGAGAATACAATTCATGCTAACCTAAATATTTCGAAACACTTTTGACATCGTCATACCCACGTAAACTTAATTACACTTTTTTACTTCGGAGCTAGTAAAGGAAGACCGAGTCGTAAGAAAAATTAGGCGCAGATATTAAACATAATTTTATTAAAACACATACAATTTAAACTGTTGGCTATCAGTTAAAGGCAAATTGGCAAATCATCTAACGGCTGGCTAGTTTGAATGCCCATGGCATTAAGTTCACCCTTGTACTCTAGTTGACAGTTAAATAAAATATCATCACGCCTTTTATTCCCGAAAGGGTAGGCAGAGGTGCACATTACGGAACTTAAGGCCATCGCTCAATGTAAGACCCGCTTTTCACTATTTATGTTATTAGTCCCGTGTAATAGGGGGTAAGCCTATTGCCATATACCGGGGACAATTCTAGACTCCGTGCTACTACTTAGATTTTTTTTTAAAACTTGTAATACTTTGCCCGACTGGGACTCGAACCAGGGACGCCTTGCGCGACAGTCGCACTTGCGGCCACTCGGCCAAAAACTAAATAAAATATTCACCTTAAAAGGTATAAACGAGCACAAATGCAACACAGTTTCTTCTGTTACATACATGCTAACCATTTTTCATCCACCATTGTTTTACAAAACTTCCGAAAACCTTCACACTATTATCGACATTAAAGCGTACACGTTAAAGGTGTTTATGGCGTCAATTAATTTGCATATGAGTACGATATGTACTGCCGGTTGTACGTAGAGTATTTCAGGTATAATGTGACAAAATTGTAACCTTGTGTATTTATACAAACTTACTAAATATTACGTAGTGGATCGTGATCCACGTTTGGACACATAAATAGTCGCCGTATCTTTAAATTTTTCGTGATTTTCTAAACACGTGTAGGTATGTACTGAAAATGTTTTTATTGACAACTTCATACGTTCAATTTTTTTTTAAAAAAAAAAACGTTGCCCCACATTAGGATTTTCTCCTGTGTCGTGGGTGCGTTTACAAACATACAAGTTCACATACAAAATGACACCCAGACCCGCAACAACAATTTGTGGATCACACAAAGTGTTGTTCCGTACGGGAATCGAACCCGAGACACGTTGCACGGCAGCCGGTTGCCCAGCTACCGCACCAACCGTGCAGTCAAATAATATACCTTCTTTGACTGAATATAGTCTACATCATAAACATCAAGATGGGTACAACTAGAAGCATCGATAGATTGTCTTTATTGACCATATAGGACAAGCTTTCTGTCAGTGACTAAAGCACTCTGCTTAACTTAACTTCTCGAGAGACCCGAACTAATAATTCATATACAAATAACTCAAAAACGAATTGTCCTGTCCTATTTTTAAACGACTTCAAAAAAGGAGGTTCTCAATTCGACCGTATATAATAACTAGCTTTCACCCGCGGCTTCGCTCGCGTCACAAAAGGATGAAAAGTAGCCTATGTGACATTTATCAATACACACAGCGCCATCTATACTAATACTTTTGTTTTCCCTCGGGAATATCAAATTTTTTCGGGATAAAAAGTACCCTATTATTTAATCCAGACTTCTAACTTTACGTCTGCAAAAATTCAAAGAAATCGGTTTAATAGTTACTGCGTGAAAGCGGAACAAACAAACAAACTCACTTTCCGATTTATAATATTAGTAAGGAATAAGGAATAGGACTAGCTTTCTGTCAGTGACTAAAGCACTCTGCTGAACTTAACTTCTAGAGAGACCCCGAACCAATAATTCATATACAAACAACTCACTAACGGATTATTCTGTCCTATTTTTAACCGACTTCAAAAAAAGGAGAAGGTACTCAATTCGACGGTATATCTGTTTTTCGAATTCGTAAATACTATCAACTCATCACCTACCACGCAACGTACGACAAAAACTAAGAACCACATAACGTATATTAACATTATATTTAATACCATTTAAGGTTACTATACCACACAACGACCTTCTCATTTCATGTCCAAAACACGCTTCCATTACTTTACTTGAAAAATGTGTTAAAAGGTATAAGAAAACAAAAATAATTTAACACAATCACGAAAATTTGATAAAAACTAGCTCAAGTTCCTTATTTGGATATAACATTAATAGATGTTTAGGATAGATACATAAAGTAAACAAAGATACGTTTTACATTAAAATTACATTACATTAAAATGATTAAAACTTGTGTAGGGGTTTTGAAAAGGAAAAGTTATTTTTTGATAAAAAAAAAACTAGCTGAAAAAGCCGGTTAGAAGTTTATAAATAATGTATTGAAGAATCGATAAATTGTTTTTAGTAACTGTATACGTAACTTAATAGATAAATAAAGCTGAATTTGAAAATACATTTAATATTATAGTATTAAACCCATACATGGCGACATATTCAGATTCAGATGGATATTTATGAAAATACACTCCTGAAAATGTGGCCATTTTATTGATATCCAACTCCGCTTTGCTTTATATTGCGTGATGTTAACTTAAATGCTTATGAAATTCAACCAACGAAGTACGGTCGACGGTCTTCAAAATGAAATAAAAACAGTAATCAAAGTAAAATTATAATAATCATCGTCAACAACAACCCATGATTGGTTAGAAATTTACCAATAATTATGTATTAATTCCATACGGCACTCGCTAGAAGAGAAGTGCCCGTTTTCACCAACCACTTCTCAATTTTAACAACCCGCAAAGCTAAGATAGGTGCGACACCTATGTAATAGTACAAGTAAGGGGTTGGTTTAAGCGCTACGTCACGCTAAGTAACTCTTAGTTAAAAGATGATTTAACCCTTTAATATAAGTAGGCAACAATGGCCACAGGATACATGTTTGCGTACTAACCTGCTATAAAAACAATCATCTTCATTTTACTGATCGTTTATCACGAAGAATTACAAAAGTACACGACTCCATTCTCCCACAATTTTTGTCAACTTTTACAATAGTAATAGGATACGTTCAACTTCATTATATTAATTTATATCCACATGCTATTTTGACGTCATTTTATATTTATAATAATAAATATGTCGTAACCATTCTGTTCAAAGTTCGAACACAAGAGAACAGAAATTTTCTTACCGACGCGACGCGACGCAAAAATATTTGCAGAAAAAATATTACACTGGCGGCCGTAATTATCACAGTACATTTACACCAGGTATAGTTACCTATCGTAATACTTTGATTCCTATTAAAGGCTAGCACTTGTAACTCCTCTACTATTGCAGGTATTCATGGGCCGCATTGGTCAGTTACCTTCAGTTGATCCCTTTACTTAAGTGCTCCAAACCCTTTATAAGAAAATCGAGAGGGTATAAAAATCAATGTATCTACATTAATATGATTCTGACATTGACATTCAACAGAATATGTCAAAACCGTCCATTGACTTTTCTATTCACTCCATTCGATTAGCGTTTACACCATTTGTAAAAGGGCAGATGTCGACTAATGTATTACGGAAGAATTTAAACGGTCGACTTATAGAATTCAGCGTGAAGTGTTCTCGTCGTTACGCGAGTCAGTATGTAAGGAATGCCACTTTTTGTGGCCCAACGTGTAAACGATTTTACAGATACATTCTTGATTTGATATATTTAAAAAATAGGGTCTGGAAGAGTTTGGTGAGGTCATCTTGGTGTGAGACGTGACACTGTGGAGGAATTTGATTTGATGTCTTAATCGAAATTTAAAGAAAATATTATTCTGGTAATCGTATGAAATATTAGTACTTATTTTTTTTAAATCGAAGTTGGTAGATATTAATTTTATGACGGATCAAAGAGTCGGCAAAAATAAAACAGCTTTACATTACACAAGTTTCATGAATATTATTCAATAACATATATTACCAAATCATTCGGTTTCATTATACTTATACCATATTTAAATCGCGCACCTTCAACTCTACTTAAATGACTAATTTTAAAATCTGAGAAGGATAAACTAATATTAATATGGGCATTTGTTTAAAAAGGTCACATCCTCGTTTAAAACAAAAACCTATTCAATGGTATTGGTAATTACCCACTTACAAAGAATTGCATATCCGTACAACATGACAAATACGTTTAATCAAATGAACGCAACCGCATCGATTAATCACACAATTTATTCGCTATTACGCCAATCGATCATCGAAAACAAACAATCGATTCAGAGTTCAATCGAATTAATAACACTGGCCGTCGTTTCCCACAATCATATTTAACGATTGAAAAAAAGGTCTAATCACTTTGAGGAGTAAAAAAGAATGAGGTATAAAAAGGACTCCCAGGTGAGATGAAAGGGCCGCGCATGCGCGGTGCGGTGCTGCGCGTCGGGTGCGCTGGCGCATGTTAACATGCCGCGGACGGACGGAAAGACACTTCCTTAAGATTTTTTTTTGTATTATAGGTAATATATTTAGTTTGAATCAATTATGTTGTAACATAAATTACTAGATTAGATGTTTGGATTGCGTCAGCTTGTTTACTGTTTATAATCTTGTTGTGTTTTAAATGTAAACGAAACAAAATATTAAAAACGCCTGTCAAATATTTGAGTGTTTTGTTCTGAAATAAATGAACTATGTTAAACAATTATGTGAACAAACATGAAACGATATATTTTTATAGTGTTTTCAACTGGAAAGTTCTTAGAAACAAAGTAATTCCATAATCTAACCATTTAGACACGAATATTCTTAAAACCGTACACCAATAGATAAACTTTCTCATAGTTTAATTCTTGAAGGATTCCCAATAATTCTTATTTCAAGAGAAAAAATATGAATAAAACAGCACGGCTTCTGTTTGCTAGGCAATATATCAATGCATCCTGCGCGTGCGACGATTACATTAAGCTTTTAATACGCTCCGCCACTCTACTTTAGTATCTCAATTGTAATAGCCGTATTATTGATACTTATAGATATTAAAAATAGATAAATAGATAAATTAAATAAGGTTTTTATTTAAATGGGCCGAAATCTCCTTTAGGAATTTAATGAATAAGTAAATTATTAGCCCTTAGCCTTGCCCAAGCGACATTAAAAAGGGCGCAATGTTATTTTTTAGTAACAAAATTGTAGCACACATAAATCAACTACTTTAGTCATCAACAATTTCCAAACGAAATCCTGAATATCATCAGTTCACTGTGACAGAGTGAAAAAATATACAAACATACGAACATAATCGCCTCAATAAATCAAAACATCCTATGCACGTGTCACCACTCGAAAAAAAAACAACTTCCCACCAAAAAACCGAATCACACAAAATTATGAATCAAAAGCTTACGTCTGCGCATAACACAAGGAACCGCGAGAGTTATGTTAATGTGTGTGTGTGACATGTACAGACACCTGTCCGGAACGATGCATCCGCACATTGTCTTACATCCTAGCCATTCTACCAAGAATGCTTTCTATTTGAATCCTTTCTTAGTAGGTAAGAGGAAAACTATGGAGCCTTTGATTCTAAGTTTTATTGCTTCCTTACTTGAGAATTCTTGCTAATATGATGAGTTAACATGTTTGTTATTTAACAAGGTAAAGGTTTTCTTATAGCTACTTTAAAGGGTGAGCTTATTGTCAAAAACGGAATGAGATATCAAATTTTTTATTTAGGTATTTATGCCAAGAGACGATTGGATTTATTGCAAAATTGTGGTTCAAAAACATTTCTAGGAAGTAATAATACATACAAGTACATATCCCTATTGATCTCCTGCAGTAATTCACCGAGGGAAGTGGAAACTATAGTTTTTTCTTCTCCTCTTATAATATCTTCTGATTCATTTCGTTGCGGGAACCAAGACAGTTACTCATGTCCCTGGGACGCGCCGGACTTCAGTGGTCCGGTGTTTTCATGGTTGTATCTACTGTAGATCCTGGCTTACAGGAGTTACAGCGGTTTTGGGAGGTAGTGGCGGGCTTGTCCCATTAAAAAAAATCAAATGCCTATTGATCCTTGATCTGGTCAAACCATTTCACTAAAACCCATTAACGAAGTTAGTAGTAGATTTTTTGTCCAATATTCTGTAGAATATGTGCATATGGTGCTTACACGTACAAGATTCTAACCCCGTTTCTCCTTCTGCACAGGTTTGAACCAACAAAGTCAACAAAGGGAGCTAGTAAAATGCGTCGTGACCTCATCAATGCAGAGATCTCTAACCTGCGGGATCTTCTCCCACTACCGCCATCTACCAGACAGAGGCTCTCACAACTGCAACTCATGGCACTCGTCTGTGTGTATGTTAGGAAAATGAACTATTTCCAACAAGGTAAGTCGACCTTTTTATTTTGTACGTTGAATCATTTTTCTATATGTCTGCAATACAGATTCCTAAGTTACTTTCACGAGCAAAAATAAGTCGATTTTAGTACTAAACTAATTGGTTTCATTCAATAAGTTATTAAAAAAGATAAGACAATTCGGTGTATCTATTGACAAAACATAATTGTTTTTTTTCTGATACGAAGATGAACATCAATCAATTAGATTAAAATCACAAAACAAAAACCGAACATCAATAAATTAATGGATGAAATTTTGGACGAAAGAATTAACAACAGGATTCAAGTCTATAGCAATAGCAAAACAATTATTTCAAATATGACTAAATTATGCAACTATTTAGATCGAGCTGCTTAAAATTCAAAACCACAATATTAGGCCTCTGTCAAGAGCATTACATTGACAGTCAAACTGAAAGCTAGACAACTGCTTTCAACGTTAGTCATGCAAGAGAATGTTCCCAGCCAACCCACGCATACTTCTGATCGCATTATATAAGCGTCTGTGGGTCAGTGGATTAACTGGATCGATGACAGCCTCTTGAATGTTATGATTCATGCAAATAATAGCTGATAATATGTACTTATTGAATTTATTCATGTCAAAATGTTTGTTGTAATAAGTGACAGGATTACTGTTGCAATGTCTACTTTGAACTATATTAACATCACTTTTAATGTGATCATGAAGCACATCTTCATCTACCATTTCATCAGTACGATCAACAGTTACTTCCCCAATTTCCAAGCAAAGTCGTGAGTCGAGGTCCTCTTCATTTTCATGTAAAATTTCCTCTAGTAAATTCTCATGCTCCAAATCTTTGGGCAAACTCATCACGTCTCATTTATCCTTGATCTCGAAACATCGTCTCCCCAACTTTTTTGTTAGTTCACCTTCAGTCACGAAAAGGCATATTAAGACGTTTAAAATGCATTTAGTTCGCTATCTTATCTACTTTTGTTATTACTTCACCCATAATACCCTCTTTCTTTCCGTTTTAGTGTTCAAAAGTCACGACTTCAGCTATCAGTATCAAGAACAACCGACTCCCACACCTAATATTGGATTTTCTAAGGTTTGTATTGTATATTTGTAAATAGTTGTATCTTTACGATGTTTTGCCGTGACATAAACTAACTTTACAATGTATTTTCAGGCAATGAACGGTTTTATGATGATGATGACACAGAATGGAAAATTGTTGTATATATCGGAAAACGCGGCGGAGTATTTGGGGCATTCAATGGTAACTTACGAACTTTCTGGATTTTTTATTCCTAATCTTTAATTATAGGCAGATTTCTAATCAAATGTTGATTTTTAGGAGGACCTACTAATACATGGAGATAGTGTATATGATATTATAGACAGACAAGACCACCAAACAGTTCAAATGGAACTCAACAGAGGCAACGGGGAGACTGAAAATTTACCAAAGAATAGACATTTCTTCTGTAGAATGAATGTATCGAGAAATGCAAGAAGACAAATGAGATTTGGTGACCAAAAAGTAAGTAATGGTAGGAAAACTATATAGGTACATTTTGGTTCCTAATCTATTTCACTGGTAGTACCTACGGTTATTGTTCGAGTTTAAAGTTGAACGAGTTTAATGTAACGTTAGGAAAAATTTCCTTGATCACTTTTCCATTCAAATGCTTGGCAATAAAAGTAACTTAGCAGATAAAGATAAATCTTGGGAATATTTTATTTTCGACAAGACATTTGAATTTGTTATGCAAATATAATTCTAAAGCAATTTGAAATAGGTACGCAACGCTCTTATCGTCCTACGTCTGTGTTGATTTATTTAAATTGTAATTTTCATATTTATTTTCTCAATTCGCAACTAAAACCGACTCAATCTAGTTGACTGTGTAAGTAGGTAAATCGTTATGAATAAGCAAATTGTTGTTGCTAAGCGAGTTATCTAAGTAATCCAAAAAATAATTTCTTTGTTAAAATACGAAAATATTGGAGCTCTAGGATAAATTGATTTTAGATGCCATAGATTTTGATGATAAATCAGAATATTCTGTACGATAACCTTATACAATTGGATGTCATGTGACGATTATACATAATATACAATAAATTAATTTGACACCACACCTATTCTGCCTTCACACTCTCTGATAAACCTGGATCCTATGAACTGCGATTCTCTCATGTCGAGGAGTTTTCTAGTTCTACAATGTCATAGGCATCACCCTTACTTTTGTTAGTCTTCTAACCTAACATTTGTTTTTACTTATAGCATATAAGTCCAATAGAACACAGTCTAAAACAACACATTTCTAGGTAGTCCTTGTTCGCGGTCACTACGTGTCGTACCTGCCGCTGTGCAGCCGCAACGAGCCGGTATTCCTGGCCGTGTGCACGCCGCTCGCCATGCCCGAGACGCGCGAGTGCGTCGTGCACGGCGCCACCAACGTCTTCACCACCGTGCACGCCATGGACATGAAGATCTTGCACATTGATGCCAAGTAAGTTTTGTGTTAAAGTAAATTAATGCTCTCTTTTTGACTGCACGGTTGGTGCGGTGGCTGGGCAACCGGCTGCCGTGCAACGTGTCGCGGGTTCGATTTCCGCACGGAACAACACTTTGTGTAATCCACAAATTATTATTTCGGGTCTGGGTGTCATGTGTATGTGAACTTGTATGTTTGTAAACGCACCCACGACACAGGAGATAATCCTAGTGTTTTTCTTAATTTAAGTTTAAAAAAAAAGTTTTTCTCTCAACTCTTTAAAAGCCCAAAAAATGAAGTACGTAGAAACGAGGAGTTTAGCTTGATCTTGCAATAAAGCTGATCACATGTCCCACATTTTCCTCAAATCTAAGCCTTTGTAGGTATTAATCCACTAAGTAATAATAAGCAATTATTAAGAGCGTATTCCTTTTTAAAAGACCGGCAAAGCACCTGTGACTCCTTTGGTGTTGCGGGTGTCAATGGGTGGCGCTGATCGCTTACCATCAGGTGATCCGTCTGCTCGTTTGTTTCCTATTCCATAAAAATAAACATAAGTATTTTCAATTTAACACGTTATTAAAAATACTTATATACGGGTACAAAATATCCTAGCTTTACTGAAACAAATAGCACATTCAATTACATTCATAAAGCTCCAATAAAACCTAAAAGACCAAACACTACCAGTCTCAAAGTAGGTACTCGAATAAAACCAATCCCACAAAATTTTCGCCTAAAAACATTCTTGTATCAACAATTAGAGCCGTGAAGCGAAAATCACTGAGGTGTGACTTGATCACGGACCTCTAAGGCATCTACTGTTGAACTCTGTGTTACATCCTGACATTCAACCCCGCTCGTAGAGCATAGCAAAAAATATAAAAACAGCTTTAGAAAAAATTCTCAGTTGAAAAGTACTTCTTTCTTTATTAATACGTGTGGGAGATCCATGCTTCGGCACAAATGGGCCGGCTCGACCACGGCCTCACAGAAAACCGACGTGAAGCAACGCTTGCGTTGTGTTTCGTCGTGTTAGTGAGGTTACCGGAGGTCCAATTACTCTCCCCTTCCCCAATCTCCCCAATTCCTGAATCCCCAACGATCCTCAAACTCCTAAGCCCCAAAACGCCGGTAAAGCACTTGTAACGCCTCTGGTGTTCCAGGTGTTCATGGGCAACGCCGATTGCTTACCATCAGGTGATCCGTCTGCTCGTTTACCGGCTTATGCCATAAAAAAAAAATTTAAATCCGGACGACGACTCTTTAATTACATGCCTATTGATAAAAGTGTGAATAAACAATTTTGGGTCAAGGTTTATCAACAGCTATGCTCTGAAAAAAGAGATAGGGGTGCTAAAAATTAACCTAAGTTCAGATAGTATTTTATTAACGTAGTCTAAATACAGATCAAAATTCTTCTTGTATTTGGTACACAAAAACGTCTATAATATTGTCCAACTGAAACTAACCTTAAAACTACAGTAGTCTATTGTCGACTATACTTATTACTGACTAGAAATAACATAACATAACATTATGCTCTCTATCCCCGTAGTAATAGGCAGAAGTGCACATTACGGCACTTAATGCCACTGTACAATATAAAACCCACTTTTCATTATTTATTTTATGAGTCCCATGTAATAGAGGGTGAGCCTGCTGCCATATACCATACCGAGCACAAACTGAATTTTTTTTAAAACTCAGTAGTAATTAAAAAGCCCGACCCGAGAAGCGAACCAGAGACTGCTTGCCCAGTAGTCGCACGAGCAATCACTCTGTCAACTTGGCTAGAAATACGAATGATAAATATACTGTTATCCTTTAAAGGTCATGTAGTAAAAGCAAAGTTATTTGAAAGAAACGTAAAAACTAATAGACATTCGCATTTTGTAATAATAAGTAATAAGAATAATAAGTAAGCCAATTTATTAAGCTAGCGGTACTTGTAATCTACATTCTGACTAAGATTAATTGATAGTCCCACACTAATAGCAAAGTTCAAGCAAAATATCAAAAGCACACTTTTAATGCTAAATCAATAAATTGTAATCGACCACAAGCATTAAACATTGCTCGTTTAATTACTTTTTTAATTAACATTTCATTACAAAAGGTTTTTTATTAATCAATTTCTGTGTTGATGGTCCAATGTTAAGGTTTTGACGTATGTTTTCTGTTACTCCGGTGGAATTTCGACGGAGGAATAAGTTTGTAGACCTTGTTGGTCTTTTATTAAGCGCTGTTGAATTAATCCTTAAGGTAATTAGAAAAGCTACCATTAACATTCATCCACTATAGATGAAATTTATCTTTAATCCTTTTTCCAATGAGTCTATTGACAAACCCTTTTTTTTTTTTTTTTTTTTTTTTTTAAGGGGGGAAAATCATCGAATGACTGCCCCCGCCTGGGTGAGGCGGGAGGGAGTGTCAGACTCTTACTGACTAAAAACCACCCCGTTCCTTCTCCTGCACGTCGAGCCGGAGCCCCGGTTACCCGTTAGGTTCTCCGCGACTCCGAATCGGCATCGGCCCTATTGGACCCCATCTGTGGTGGTCTGATGGCTCTTTGAGGCGCGCGCGGAACGCGACGCGCCATACGCTCGGGTCTGTTTCTGGTCGGACGGGGAGCCACCCATGCTCGCCGTCCGCAGGCCCGCGCTTACGGTGGCCGGAGATCGTCCCGCGATCCCCGACGCCCGGTGTGTCCTTCGCGATGGCTGGGTTGCGAGGAGGCAGCGCTTCGCTGCCTCACGCGTCCCGCCTCCTCCTTAGCTAGCATGACTGCTTCGCAAAAGGAGGAGACGGCATCCCAATCCCCCTCGCTCCGCATCATGGCCTGCACTAGGCCCGGACGCGAGAGGTCGCCATCGCCGATCACTTCCCTGAGGACACGGCGGTGCTCAGCCCACGAAGGGCATTCTCCCACCGTGTGTTCCACCGATTGACAAACCCTAAGACCAATCTAGGAATTAGTAGGTTACGTAACATTTAGAAACAAAGAATTCGTCGAAGCTCTTTCTGACACCATGGTTAAAATCGAATGTTCTATGTCACAGTTATCATAATTGTGACTTTGAACATTCTAGCAGTTCCACTGGTCTAACTGCCGTATTTAGAGACATTCAATGTACCAGAGGCCCAATTACCCCCTCCCCCCAATCTCCCCAATCCCCGAATCCCCAATAATCGTCAAATTCATAATCCCCAAAAGGCCGGTAATGTCCGGTTATTTGTAACACCTCTGATGTTCCGGGTTTCCATGGGCGGCCCCGATTACTTACCATCAGGTGATTTGTCTGCTCACTTACCGACTATTTCCATAAAAAAAATTAACTATGTTATCTAAAGACTGGGTCATGTAACCATTAAATAACTCTGACTACGGCAGGTATATGAGGATACTGTATTTCCTTCGTAATGCTATCAATGTGATGTTAATGAGTTCATTTGTTACAGCGGTGAATGGTACTTAGGTTGGAAGAAATCGGAGTTAGCAGACGTGTCGTGGTACCAACTTATCCACTGGGACAGCTTACGGGAAGCACAGAGCAAACATAGACTAGGTGAGTACTTTGACTACAGACAAACTTTGTTAGATTATTAATTTTCTAATCAAACAAGACAAGATATTTTGAAATACGTTTTAACACAGAAAATTGAAGCTAAATATAAAAATATTGCAAAAAAAAGAAGACTATTTTTTACTGACATCATAAAAAGGAGGAGGAACTATGTTTGGCTGATTTTTTTTTTTATTTCATTAAAATTAATGTACCTAGGTTACAATAATTTAATTAACTATTGATAGACGATAACAAAATCATCAACATTAATTACAAAAAAGTCACAATTATGTAGGAATTTTGTGTATAAAGTTTTGTGTCTCGAAAATGACAAGGCGCGGCGGCACAAGAGCGCACTTTATTCAAGACAGACTTTAAATGGCGCCTACACGTTAATAAATAAAACATTAACAAATTATTATTTCAAATTTCTATGAATCAGAACAATAAATATGAAATTAATTCTTTAATTTATTAATCATTGTTTACACTATCGGAATAAATTCAGCGGGGACAATTAAACCCAGTGACACTTTTGATTGGCAAAGGAAATCAATAATCAATTTTAATTCATACTTTATATTATTGATTGTAGACTACAATACAACCATTATTTTATTGATTATACAGTTCCAATAAATCATGTATAAGTATTTATGTACTTGCTGAGCGATTCATGGATTCGTTTAATGTCAGTCGAAGGAAATTTATCCTTACTGTAGTTATATACGGAGCCGCGGAGACCTTAACGGGTTACCGGGGCTCCAGCTCGAAGTGTAGGAGTAGGAACGGGGTGGTTTTTAGTCAGTAAGAGTCTGACACACGCTCCCGCCTAACCCAGGCGATAGAAGTCATTCGATGATTTTCCCCCCTTTAAAAAAACTGTAGTTATATATGAGCTTTTTGAGTTGTGTATGTAATAAAAAGTTTTTAAATCGACGTCAGGTTGATAGGATTGGTTTGGGGTACACAATCGTCACATTTTTGCCTAATAGGCATACCTTTTTATACAATCATGTTTAAAGCCAACAGTCTCAAACTATTTTTTTTAGACTACGTCACACCATTCGTAAATATCGTTCGTTAGTAAATCATTTATTTCTCATAGTCTAATATCTTGATTTGTTACAGTAACACAATCGGAACAAGACAAATGTTGCATATTACTGGTGAAGTTACAGCAACGTAGTGGACAGTTCCTTTGGGTACATATGGTGTTGCAAGTGAAAGACGCAACGGATACACCGAGACAGTTTATTGTTGCAACCAATCAGATTTTAAGGTAAAAAACATATCCTATTTTATATACAAAACTAGGTTTTATTCTGGCAATTTTACTGTCCAGTTGGACTATGCCTTTATGACCCAATTTTTAGATTGGATAAAAACTTGTATTTCTATTTTTAAATTTAGTTAATTAAATCACAATTACACTCAGACTCAGTCATTTACTTATGAACACAATTTTTCTTATTTCAACTGTATTCTTTTTTTCTATTAAAAATATATATGTATTTTGCTACCGACCATTCAAAACTCCCCATTCTCCCTACAGTGAAGAAGAAGCAACGATAATGTTGGCCAACTCCTGGCTATACCAATACTATGGTTACCAGAACCAGCCCTGTGGCATGCTGGACCCTCGCTGTCAAAAGTTCTTCAGAAGAGACCAGTGTTACCAAGAATATCAGGAGTATCCTTACGTGGAAAGCCAAGAGATGGAGTATGCTGGTTACCACGTGTCTTCCTATGTGCAGCCAAAAGTCGATGAATATAATGGATGTGAGCGAGTGTACTCGGAAAGGGGACCTGTTGATTATTCTACGCATTCGCCGCAGTCCACTATTAGTGAAGAGAGGTAAGATTTTCATAAAATATTATTCATTAGCTACCATCTATACTCCGGCATAATATCTTTTTTGATTGTTATAATTTTTTATCAATAAACTAGCAAACCCGGCGAACTCCGTTTCGCCACCAGATGGCTTCGTTTTATGTTACATTTCGCTTAGTGATTAGTGAATTTTCTTTGCTCTAAACCTCATGTAGCCCGAGACCTTTCCAACGAATACAAAACCGTGGAAATCGGTTCGTGCGTTCTGGAGTTATAGCGTCAGGAAGGAAAACCCGACTTATTTTTATAACATAACATAACATAACATCACGCCTTTTATCCCCGAAGGGGTAGGCCGAGGTGCACATAGTAGTAACACCCACTTTTCACTATTTATGTTATGAGTCCCATGTAATAGGGGGTGAGCCTATTGCCATATACCGGGCACATTTCCAGACTCCGTGCTACTACTGAGATTTTTAAAAAAACCCCAGTAATACTTTGCCCGACCCGGGAATCGAACCCGAGACCCCTTGCCCAGTCGCACTTGCGACCACTCGGCCAATGAGGCAGTCAACTTATTTTTATATAATAGATAATGTAGCCAGATGTATCATTCCGATGAGATTCAGAGCCAGACCAAATTCTATCCCTGTTTCACAATTTAACCTGAACTCTTCAGCCATTTTAAAGTTATTGAGTAACAAACATAGATATAGACATACAAACACACAACGTATTTATAATATTAGTAAGAGAGAGAGGAGTTACACTAGTCAATTGGTTACCAGTTATTTTATTAGTCATATTGTTGATAGTAAAGTTGGTGCTTTATTGCCATATATGATTTCATACGCCGTGTTAATTTTGAGAATAATTACTAAGAAATATTCACCAATTTATAACCTCACTCAGAAATTTAACCCTAGAACAAGTAGTCATGTAGTTAATTTCCCGAGCCGGGCTTGTTGTCTGAGAAAAAGTTCAGCAATCATAATTACGCATCTCATGTAAAAAAATAGGAATTAGTCATTGTCATGTACACTTTCAAAAATTCTATTAATACTTTGTTATTTAGTCAAGAACAAATGCTTATAAAAAAAAATAGATTAGTTACAATTTAAAACAAATGCACTATTAACACAATAAACAAACGGGTCAGGATACAATTTGTACCCGTCATGTCACTCAGTGGAATATAAATAAGAAAATCATCACCCGACCCGTCTGTCCGACTGTCCATCCGCGTAATTTGACACCTTTCATTACCATATTTATTGTAAACTTACTATTACAAACTAAATAATTCCACTACTATAAACAGTTACGACTCCTATTACAGGACTATTTAAAGTTGAATTTTGTGTGTTTAGAACTTAGTGGATGGTAAAAATAAAGTTGTAGTTGTAAACCAAATATAAGAAGGTTAGGTTGAAAAGGTTCTATGTCGGGTTTAGTTTATTATTTTGATTTAGTTTCTGTATTGATTTTGACGCGCACTTCATGTTGATGTTTATGAAGGAAATTATTACGAAGATCATAATTGTATGTTTGTAAATCTTAATGCGTCACACTACGACTTTATTTTATTGAGTATATTTAGTTATAGATAAGATTTAATTTCTGCGTAAAAAACATTATTTACTAAATATTAAAAATACTGGTACTGAGATTTTCAATATGAGAAAAATCAGTAAAAAGATTGGAACTTAGAATATTTTTTATAGTTTCTATATTATTAACAATGATTTGCGGTATATAAAAGACTATACAATAATTCAAATTGGCAAAAAAGTACTACGCAACAAAGCTTAAATGTTTAAAAAAAACCTACATATAATTCTAATAATAATCCTAACTTTATGGCAAAATAGCATTTATAAACATAACACTAAAATATACATTTCTTTTTCAGATCACCTCATCACTACGATCCACCACCAGATATCATAGTGAACAGCAATATGTACATGTACCCACACCACGGCAAAAGGGAGTACTATGAACAATATCCCAGGGTCAACTACCATATACAGGAGCCCTGTTCCAGTACTGTTATTGAAGGTATTTATTTATTTTCTCCCTTTTATTATAGATTGTATATATTTTTAACTATGTTACTTACGTGAGAATATTGAATAGAGCTGTACTAGTTTAAACCACAGAGGAGTTCTTCCTCATGAGCAGCGTGCGCAGTCGCGGCGATGTCGCGAAGTCTATTTTTTTTGGGAACAGTGAAATCTGTTTAATATGTCATTGGTCTCTCATTGATCTCTCACTCACTGAGCACTGATCTCTCATTATTACCTAGTTAGTTTTAACTTTAAAAAATATGTTATCGAAAACCTCTAGATGAATGACTGACTCGGGCAGAGAGACAGAAAATGTTGTGATAATTTTTATTTGTACTATCGATTTTAGTAAACTAAGTATCTCATTTAAAAATCTATGGATATAAATAGATTTCTGACATTAATTGAGTAGAATTTCTATCAATAATCGATCTTAATCCATAGTATATGTCAATTCATTTCAATCAATTTCGTTCTAATAACGTAATTAACTCGTCGAGTACCGGTTTTATAGACACAATTAAAGAACAATAGGTCGCGGTCACCGGTGACCGCTTGGTGTTTGACAGTTTAAGAAATGATAATCCAATTAATCTCTGTTTAATATTTTTTTCTTGAATAAAACTAGGTTATTAATATATAACATACGCATTAAAAGTATTCCTATAACTCAAAAGTCATTTAATTAAATATTAAGATAATACTACGTAATTTAAAGTCACTAATTTACATTTTTTTTACACAGGTATGGAATACCCAAGTCCGAAGCGTATGCGGTTAGCCCCACCTCCTCTAACCCTGGAAGAAACTGATGGCATGGACAGATGGAATCCTAGTCCACCCTGGTCGGATACCACGCTCAAAATTCCCGACTACACCCAGCGGTTTACCTACAACCACATGGTACCAATGCCTCCCGAAAGAGCAATGGTCACCTAATATTTTTAATTTAATTTAACTAAAATAAGAACAACAGCATAATAGGAAGAAATAAGTGTTCTTACAATTGCAGTATTAAAATATTTTCGAATAATATAGGAATATGAAAATGAAAAAAAAAACATAATATTCTTTTTAACCATGTTTAAAGAATTAGTCCGTGTTCGTAACATTTCATGGGCCAAAATAAATTGAAATCTTTATGTAATTGTTTTTATTCATCTATTCTGACTGCAATGTACCGATATTTAAGTAGTTTTAGAAACTTTTCCTATCTTGATGCATTTAAAAATTGTTAGATACGTTCTTTAATTTGTTATACTTAGTTCAAATGCAAAACTTTGTCACCAAGTTGGTAGCCAATAAATGGACCAATATTAAAATTAAAAATCTAACCGCAAAATTGGGCCAATATTGGCAGACCAACATGGAGAGATAGGACAAAAATGTAACAGTATTTTATTATTAATAATTTGTAAGTTAATGTATATTTTAAACGTAAGTTTTAGAATATGGTTCCGTCCAAAAATGTTTGCATTCCAAAGGGATAGTTAGGTAAGTCTTATTTTATAAATTAATGTAAATATTTTTGTAGTAATTACGGCATTTATGTAAATATTAAGTTTTATATTATTGTAAATTGTGTTTAGTAAAGAGTAAGAAAAGAAATAAAACAAAAAATGGATAAGTTGCAATTATTTGTGTAGTTTTATTTGTAGTTTAAGCCTCATATAATCCCTTAAAAATCACACGCAATATACATTAATTTACTAAAAACAAAATTCTGCTGCAAAATTAATGTTAAAAACTTTTTAATCGGTAACTACAAAATGCTCTATTAGAAGAGAATACCAATTGAAAGAAAATTAATGATAATCTCGTATACTGTACAACATAAGTAGTCATGACACACATTCTCGTTTTCTTCCAAAATGTATTACAAAATAATTTATTCAAGGATCAAATAGAAAGTAAATACATTTAATTTACGTAAAAGGGTACGATAAGGCTTAACCTTCAACCTTTGAATATTATGTATAAGGATTAACAAAATCAAAATTGAAGGTCAAAGAGATATCTTAGTACAATTATTTTGGAGCACACTACCTTAATTTTGTTAATGAATCTCTGCAAATAATAGTAAATGATTAGTAATTTTTTTTATGGCATAAGCTGGTAAACGAGCAGACGGATCACCTGAACGTAAGCAATTGGCGTCGCCCATGGACACCTGGAACACCAGAGGCGTTACAAGTGCGTTACCGGCCTTTTGGGGATTAGGAGTTTGAGGATCGTTGGGGATTCGGGAATTGTGGATATTGGGGAAGGGGAGGGTAATTGGGCCTCCGGTAACCTCACTCACACGATGAAACACAACGCAAGCGTTGCTTCACGTCGGTATTCTATGAGGCCGTGGTATCACTCCGGTCGAGCCGGCCCATTCGTGCTGAAGCATGGCTCTCCAACACTTAAATATTATGATATTATGACAATTTGAGTTTCAGAATATGTTTTTATATTCAAAGAAGTGGAGCCACTAGCGATTTTTGGTCGAATCCTCCTACAACTATAAAAAAGATATTTCTGTTACCACAAAATACTCTCATTTTAAAGATATTGTTACTTTTTAATAAAATACTTGTACCTGAAAGTATTTATCAAGAAATGTAAGAAAAGATGCTAATTAGTTCCGTTTCTTTGCTCTCAAATGTATGTAGATAAAATTATATATAATTTTTAGCACGTCAAATTAGAAATATGTCAAGACATCGAGTATCAAACGCCTCGTTGGTGGAATGATTGCAAATGTGACTGTTAGACGGGAGACTCGGTCTATCTGGATCGGGCAAAATATGCCGCGTAACGTGTATCGGGTTCGATTCCCGGACGGAACAATTCTTTATGTGATCCACAGATTGTTGTTCCGGGTCTGGGTGACATGTGTATATGAACTTTATGTTTGTAAACGCACCCACGACATAGGAGAAAATCTTAGTGTGGGGCAACGATTTTTAAGAAAAAAACCTTTTTTTCGCAATTTTGAAATCTTTCAGCAATATCGCATAATCTGAAATTATATGTAAGTAGTATAAACTCACATTTTGTTACAAAGCTCTAAAATAATGAATGAAAAGTAGGGGTTTTATACAATACAGGTATCTCTAGAGGGGTAGACCTCTCGTCTACCTATAGTATGACCGATCTAGTTCCCTATCTCTACACAACGAACAAAATAATTCAACAAACTAATCAAAACATCGGACACAGCCAGTGCGACTGCCACGCAGATTACTGGGTAATCCATCCCACCATAACCCACAAGTAGTGACGTATTCTTGCAATCAGAATGTCAGAATGCCACCCTTCTAAGAACAATGTAAAACAAGGTATACGCGGTTAAAATTTTAACTCAAAGCTAAATTATGTGTGCACTGTGCAAGTGTTCCTAATGCCACCCATTAGCTGTTTCAGTACTTGCATAAGTTACTTGAATTATATTTAAATGTCTAATGCGTGCGAATTACATTAGGGATACAAGCGTTGAAGTTCTTAATAGATGTAATGCGCTTAACAAACAACCAACTTAATTTGGACTTCGAGTAGTGGAGTATTTACCCCTTTGGCGTGTTCGTTGGTTTAGTTGAGGGGAACGGGGTAGGTCAAGTTATAATGGCGGCGCTATAGCTGTCAATCAGGCAAAAGCTAAGCCCGATAACGTGGGGTAGAAGTAAAGACACTACAGCGATTTTTTGTTAAAAAAAGAGTAAAATAACCTTTTATTGTTTACTATTAACATTGTCAATATTAATAATTACAACGATGAAATAACAATAAGCGTTTTAATATCGTACTAAATTCCGTAAGTGTTTCAATTCTAGATTATTTATTAAAAATTTTAGGGCCCTAAAATCTGATCCTAGTTGTTAAAATACAAGGCTGTAAACGAATTTTATTAATCAAACAATGATAACCAAGCATAGATACAATCAGGAAATGCAAATGTCAAAAAATCGCGCTCCTCTTCTGTCTTACACCACAAAAGCTCGAGTAAAACTTTGATCCATTGTTATTTCAAGCCTGTCTGACTGCGTTCAGATGAATTATTGATGTCTAGAATCTATACGTGATCCTAAATCCCAGGGCTATAGCACTATAACACGGTACCAAACAGGAAGACACCATTGAGAACAATAACCATAAAAATTATTAGAAAAAAATATATATGTTTTTGAAAGTTGAAAAAATTTATTCAGTTTTTTTTTTTGTTTTTTTTCTTTTTCTTGTTTTTTAGGGTCGCTCCAATTCGTGTGTCGTAGTATGTTATGATAGCTTGAATATCAAGATGTGGGTAATATGTTCATTTATAGAATTAATAATGCTTTAATGCGTTTCATTGTGTGTTGAATAGTGTTATAGAGAACTGTTTCAGTTAGTATATTAGTGATTACTTCTAAAACACTTTAAAATAATTACAATAGTATTGTTGGTATATTGAACAATCACGTCTTAACTTTGGAAGCACGTCGAAACAAACTATTTTTAGAAGACTTTTACAAACTCAACTCAACTCGACGTCCTGAACTTAACTAGTAAACTCGATATATAATCATAAAGACACAATATATCGAATTTTCTCTCCTCCTATGAAAAGTCATCAAATTACTAAATCCTTTCGTATCACACCTCTCACAATTAATCCACCAATTCCTTTCTATACTAATACGAAAAAACTCACCCACAAAATCAACAACAACAAACTTCCCAATTACAACCGCTTAACATTGCTAACAAAATAACATATAACAAATACAAACTGATCAATAAAGAAGACATTAGCTTACTGTCTCATTACTGCATAAAACATCGCAAGCTAGTGCAGCCCACCGGTTCGCATTACCCTACTCGTTAGTAGAAAACAAATTAATAAATTATACCTTAGTAAAGTTTTCCGATCACACAACACGTGGGAAATAAGAAGGCACTGAGTAATTTATTTAAACGGGCCGTAAACTTAGTAAGTGGGGAGGTTCTTGCCAACAATTTGATTTGACGTAAGTATGTTTGGACGTTGCGTGCCTCAAAATTGCTTTGCAAATTGTGTGAAGATTGTTTAGTAGGTACGTCTAGTTAATTTTGTGCTAGGTTGTTTTATCTATTTTTTTTTAATACAACCTGGAATCGAAGTCATATTATTTTTAACTGTCTGTCTGTCTGATTTCTCGTGTTAGCAAAAATAATAATACTATTAATAAATTAAGGTCATCACTACAAAATGTACCTACTATCCTACTAATATTATAAATGCGAAAGTTTGTATGTTTGTTAGTCAAAGTCAAAGTCAAAGCATTTATTTCAATTAAACCATAGTTTGGTACTTTTGAAACGTCAACAAATACAAAATAAATAATAGTCTGTCAGTCAGTCCGTCAGTGAAACTAGGTGAAGCTAGGTGCTCATTCCAAAAAGTAGATTCGAATGGAGAAGAACGAGCAAGAAACTCCATTCGTTACTCTTTTTAAAAAAAGTATGTTCTACAATGTCTCTGATACATATTTCAGTACTGTACGCATATGTAAGAACAATGCAAAGACACGTAGTTACGTGAAAACAGCTGAAGGGGTCGGAATAAAATTAAGAACAGGGGTAGATCCAGACTTTGGTCTAGCCATGTATTATTCCAGATGTATCTGGAATAATACATATACAATATGTAACAAAAACCCTGTTGTTCCTTGTACCTTCAAAAAATCGGCATACGGACGCAAGTAATTTATAAAAAAATTCACCTGAAATAATTAAATATAATATTTAATCATTAATATTTGTAATGTTTAAATGATTTCTTACCTCTGCAGTACTAGAAATACGAGACAAAAAGCTTTTAGATAAAAGTGTATGTCCCTGAAAGGAAACACTATTAAATTATTTTTTTTGAGGTGGGGAAATCATCCAATGATTTCTCCCGCCCGGGTGAGGTGATTCTTACTGATTAAAAACCACTCCGTTCCTACTCCTG